GCTTTAATATTAATCACAGGAGTGTTCTTGTGGTTTTGAACACTACAAACTAGATTAAATTTATAATGTAATATTCCTACCAATAAATAAGCTTCATCAAACGTATATGCTTTTGTATGAAAATAAAAACCTGAACCAGCTTTAGCTCCATCGTCCATAGCCCAATATGCTAAAGCTATCTCGTCAATATATAATAATAGATCAGGTGAAATAGTCTTAGTACGTTTACCTGAGACATTAGAATAAAACAAATTATCTAAAGTTAGCATAAAAGGATAAGTTCTTGTATGAAATCGTAGGAAAGGATATATATTTCTAGATATTGTTAATGAAGGGTATTGTGAACAATAATGTGAGAATTGTAAAAAGACTGACCAAGTATAATCAAATCTTTTTAATGTTTGTGAAAATACAAAAATTGGAGTAATACTAGTTCTTGAAAATACTAACGCACCATCTCCAAGTAAATGCCCTATTAACTGACTTACAATTCGTTTAGGAAAGATAGTTAAATCTCGAGCATAATTATTAAATCGCATTAATACAGTAGATCCTACTATACCTTGTGGTACTAAAGCTGTACTAGTGCTATTAAGTTTCTTCATAGGAATTAATGCTAAATGACTAAAACCTAAATCATAACTAATGTCCATTAAATTTAATAATAAATTTATACTGGAATCCATTAAGTATAATAATCTGAAACTAGGGAAAGCAATAGCTACTAATACTAATGCTGGAGTAACTGTCCAAATTAATTCTATAACTGTACCATGAGTGAAGTATTTGTATACTATAGGATTAGTTCTCGTATTGAATTTAATAATAATAGTACCTAACATCCAAGATACACCAATAACGATTATTACTAAATAAAACATGATTTGATCATGAAGATCTACAATTCCATCGAAAAATGGTGATGCACCGTCTTGTAGCCCAATTTTTCAAGGTTCCGGGCGATCGCAATGAGCAATAGAGAAAAAGTTGAATAATTTGTATAACATTTGTAATTTTTAAAAAGGATTTCGTACATAAAAAAAAATTTAATGATAAGTATATTATAATGATTATAGCGGAAATAGCCGCTTATATTTTATAATTCTTGCTTCCTCCGTAACCCTGCCGGGGGAAAAAGGGGGGGTGTTAGATTTGTTCTATGTAATTTAATGGATTAGCTAATAGTATATTATAACCCCTACTATTATTCTTTCGTAATTAAGGATGTAGACAATATCCATTGTCCTTTAAATACTAAACCATTTCGACTATATCTCATTATAGTAGAGTGTGAAGTCTCTAGATATTCAGCTGCTTTTCTTCCTGAAGTAAAAGTATTGATAAGAGTAGATTTGTTAGAAGAATAAAGATATATAGTACTACCCTTAGCAGCACTCATTTTTTCTTTCGTCTTAATTGAATGCAATAAACTTCTACCGTACATTGAATTATTTATACCCGAATTAGCAAGACTTATTAAAGCTCTAGTCTTAGCTGAGTGCGATTTACCATACATTCGATGATTCTCACCTGAAAATTTAGCAAGTGATTCAAGTGTATGTTTGTAACCTAAAGAATTACCTGCTATTTGAAGAATATTCATAAGAGGTTTAAGGACATCTATATAAAATTGTTCTCGATTAGTACAATCTTTTTCTTCACAATATTCAAGGATAGTTAACGAGAAATTTGAGTAACCATTCTTTAATAAAGATGAGCATATTTTACTTTTACCTATAGCGGCTTTAGAAATATATTTATAAGAATAATATTCCTTAAATCTTCTACTTAGATTAATAGAACTCCCTACATAAGATTGTCCAGTTAATAGATTAATAAATTGGTACACGCCAGATTTATTATTATTATCCACAATAATTCTTTCTTTATCAAGATCCGAATTACTATATATCTTAATAGGAACAGTATTAGATAATAATATAGAGATATTAAAAGCTTCGTTAATATCAGGGCAGATAGAAAAAGAAAACATAAGATCACAGAGAAATAAAGTATAAAAAAGTATTAAGAAATGAAAGTTAAATAATTTTGATAACATTGTAATTTTAAAAATGGGTCTCGTACAAAAAAAGAAATTTAATCATATATATGTTACAACAACAATAGCCACTTATTATATGTTACAACAACAATAGCCACTTATTTATTTAGCAATTTTTAATTTTATACTAAATGGGTAAGGCGGAAATTGGTTTACGCGAGTTATTTAGGCTAACTTGATTTTTATCATGTGAGTTCAAGTCTCACTACCCATAATCATATTAAATTTTACTACTAAACCTCCTTCAAGAAGATGGACTCTAGAGGGTCCTTCCCGATGGTTTTAATCTGTTTGGTCCCGCCCCAAAGTTTAACTTAGAGGGCTAAACATTACACAATAAAGGGATGGGTCCGAAAAGTTAATTTATTTTAGAAGGGTAACTTAGGTTATAATTAATTAAGGGGACATCGTATATCTGGTAATATATTGGTTTTGCCATACTTTCTCTTTTTACACTTAAATCTTTAATAAATATTTTATTATTTTAATAAGTAATATATAATAGGACAATAATTTTTTATAAAGCTCTTTACTCATAATAGATCCTTATTAAAGTTCAAGTCTTGTTACCATAAAGTGTGTCAAACAAATAAGTATACCATCAAAACATTATATTAATGTTATAGTCGATGGGTGATTTTATATCATTCTGGGAACAAAAATTATAAAATACAAAAAAATATGAATAATACAAATAACAATGTATCTTTTACACCGGTTATAATATATCATAATGCTGATTCTGAGAAAAATAAAATTTTATTAGATAATAAAGGTAAGGCTGGTGTGTATATGTGGACCCATATTGAAACTGGTAAAATTTACGTTGGTTCTGCCATTGATTTATCGAAACGACTATCTCTATATTTTTCAGTTTCATCATTAAAAAAAGATAACTACTATATTTGCAGAGCACTTCTTCATCACACTCATTCTGCTTTTAGTTTATCGATTCTAAAATATACTGACATTTTGAATTTAGATAAAAAAGAAGCACAAAAATTAATTCTACAATCAGAACAATTTTTTCTGGATATTATCTTTTCGTTAGATAAACCTAATACTTATAATATACTGCAGGTAGCTGGTTCTCCGATAGGTTACAAACATACTGAAGAAGCTTTAGCAAAATTTAGTGGAAAAAATCATCCTTTATTTGGGAAATCTCGTTTACCTGAGACTATTGCTAAAATTAGTAATGCTATGATAGGTAAAAATCATTCTGCTGAAACTAAGGCCTTAATAGGTAAAGTCCATAAAGGTAAATGTGTTTCTGCTGAGACAAAAGCTTTAATGTCTTTAGCAAAAAATAAAATAGTATTTGTTTATACTTTAGATTCTGACTCGAAGGATCTAATTTTATATAAATTTTTTAATTCTTGTATAGATGCTGCTAATTTCTTTGATTGTACCACACGTACTTTATCTAGATATTTAGATAAGAATAAATTATATAAGAATCAATGGATTTTTTCATCATCCTTAATTAATAATAAAAAATAGCAGGGTTAATATGCTATTATATTAATTATATTCGTTTAGAAAGAGATCTATCTAAACACCCCCTCGAGTATCAACAGGATAAGGCATCAGGTGCCCGCGAGGTGAGCGATAAAAATAAATCTTATGTCTATTAAGAGATAGGCACTTATATTATAGTTGAAACTTATATTTTATTATGAAAAATTAAACTGGCTGTTTACGTAAAATATAAATAAATAAAAAAAAGGGGACATCGTATATCTAGGTAATACATTGGTTTTGCATACCAAAGAGAAAAGTTCGAGTCTTTTTGTCTCCATAAATATCGAAAAATTTACTGAATAAATCCACAGGGGCTAAGTTGCCCCGCAGATTCGTCCCACGGGCTTTTTTAATTTGTTAGGAACAGGTCCTTCGCTATTCCCTTCGATAAAGGGTTTATGGTTTTTCTTTTCGACAGGTCCCCCTTGTGGGGACAAAAAACACCTGCTCCTACCTGCCCTCCGCATTTCTACGGAGGGGGGATAGGAATGCGTACATAATAATCAAACAATTAACCCTATATGAGCCCAACCCTTTTATTTTATCGTCATCGCTCAGAAAACCTTACAGTCCCTTATGAGGAATAATTATTTATTTAAAATAAATTCTGAATTCCTTTTTATTCCTTACTTTTTTACTTTACGAGAGGTGTAAAAATTTTATTAGTTTTGATTCTTTCTTGAATCCTTTTTCTTTTCTCTTTATTCTTTTATTGAGGCGGGGATAAAAAAATTTACTCTCCTTTTATAAAAATAACACTACTACTTAGCGACGGTGGGCTAGCATAAACGTAGTTAATAGCGCAGGCCAAAGGAGACAACCACACCAGCATCACTTAATGATGGCACACCCAAATACAGTAAAGAAATATAAATTAAGAATAGCCTTTCGATTATAAATTAAGAATAGCCTTCCGAATAAGAAAAATACTTAGAAGGGAAAAAATTTGATTTACAATTATTTTTTTATTATTCAGGGGCCCGGCTCCCCTACAGGGCGCCGGGATAATTCTCGAGGTCTGCTCTTCATAACACTATCCTTTCTTGGTGGAGGCCTTTCCAGAGATAATATCTCTCCCCTGTGGAGTGAGCCTTGGGAGCACTCTGCGGGTCTAATCCAAACCTTTTACAGGGAATGAAGTTATATCTGCGATTGACAAACGCAATTTATCAGCCTTCGGGTTACTGTTAGAAGAAATCAAGGTGTTTAAAATTAGTTGTTTGAAGATGGTTTCATAAAAGCCATGACTGTTTGCCCCTGTTTGTTTTTCATTTATGAAAAATAAAAAACTCTTACGGGGGGCTAATTTTTATGGCAGAAACACCCAACAAAGGCAAGCGTCATTACCGGGGGCCTCGGGGGGTTAAATTAGTTCTAAATTATAAAATAGTTTTGGTCATCAAAATAATAAAGAGGGGATATAATTCAATTGGTAGAATAACTGTTTTTTAATCAGCTAAATATGAGTTCGAATCCTCTTATCCTCAGAATTTATAAAATAAAGCCCGGGCCCCGACCTTGCGGAGGGCCTAAGGTATAGTTGGTAGAACTCAGACTTTTATCTGACAACATGGGTTCGAATCCCATTACCTCACTACTATTAAGATAATATCAAGTTATCTGAGGCCCGGGCCCTCTGCAAACATGCAGATGTGGGGCCGGGCAGCTGTTTACCTCCTCCCCCCCCCCCGCACACCTTTATTTTCATAATGTTTTACATATAAATATATAAAACTGCGGGGAGGAGTAAAGGGTGAATTAAATTTTAATTTATTAATAACAATAAAAATGTATTTTAATAGAAAGTTTATAAGAACATATACTTCTGAAAAATCAAATAATCAAAGAATAGTTTAAGAAAATGAAGAATGACCGTGAAGTAATAAAGCATTATTGATATGCATAGTTTTATAACGATTTAAATGACTTTTAGAATAATAAGTTCTTAACCGTTTAGATAAATCAACTGCAGAACCAATATAAAATTTACCTGATTCTAAATGAGTCCACTGGTAGATCCCGGTTTTTCCTTTATTATCCTTCAAAATCATTACTTTGTTAGTATCAGTATTATCATATATAATTACTGGTGTGAAAGATCCATTTAAATTATTTTGCATATTAATATTATTAATTCTTTATCTCCGTAGCCGACACCCGCGGCAATATGCACGGGTCCCGGATTTAATTCTTTTTAAGTAGTCTATTAAAAGGAATATTATTTTAGAGACCTTACTTATCATCATTACATAGTCCCGGGTAAAGGGTAGACAAGCCAAAATTTTACTAACCAGGATTTTGTACAGTAACCTTCTCTCGAAAAAAGGATAATTACCTTAAAAGCATTGGTTTCCATTAACCTATTACTGCTTATAGTGGACTTAATAACAAAATGGGTTTAGCCAAACTAGACTTGAACTAATATGCTGAATATTTTTATAACTATTTTTTTTTACATATCAATACTGTTAATTATACCTGACAACGGGTTGAAGCCAAATGGCCAGGCATCTAAATTGGGTTTAGGATGATAAATCGTGTATAAGAAATCTTTTTTTTAATTGTTATTTCAGGGGGTTACCCGTAGGGTCCTCGCTAAAATAATTAAGTCAAATTTTTTTAATGGTTAAATACATAATTTGTAGTCATTGAAATGTTTGTTCGATTATTCGAACGGGTTGAAGCCTAAAGGTTGGGCGTCTAAATTGGGTTTAGAAATTAAATGGTTCGATTCCGTTCAACCCGAATTACATTATTGTTATTGTTAGAGTGGGGTGTAGAAATTAAATGATTAATTTCTAAGTAATTAATTGAAAAGATAAGGTATATTTTCCCCCTACCTTTAGTATATTAATACTATCGCTTATTCTTTAGCTGAAAAAGATAAGATCCATTTGCCTTGAAATAATTCTTGTGTAAGAGCATATTTCTTAATTGTTGTAGGAGAACAATTAAATTCTTCAGCAGCTTTTCTAGCAGAAGAAAAAGTATTAACGAGAGAGCCATTAGTATCATAAAGAAATATAGTGCTTCCTTGTGCAGCACTCATTTTAGCTAGGGTTTCAGTACTAGGGACTTTACCAAAATTTGAATTTTTAGCACCTAAATGCGATTTACTCAATTTAGCACGAAGTGTAGGATCAGACATAGCTTTTCTTATACTCACACTCATCTTGGCACGAGTTTCAAGGGAAAACTCTTTATTAAAGTTATGATTGTTCGGACCTAATTTTGCTTCTCTCATTTTGGCGCGTATAAAAGGATCAGACATTGCTTTTCTAATTTTAGCACGAACTTCTGGACTATGATTATTACCTAATGAAGAACCAGCAGTTGTTAGTATATTATACGTATTTGGTTTAGTCTCTTTAAAGATTAAATCAAGATAATACTGTTCTCGCTCTAGAATTAATAAACGTGCTTTTTCTTTTGATAAATTTTCTATCTTAATATACTCGAGAATACTTAAAGAAAAATTAAAATGCCCATGAAAAAGTAAAGCTTTACTAAAATACTGATTTTTATTACGATTTAAACGTGGTATTGAATAATATTGTTTTAATCGCAGAGATAAATCAAAAGCACTACCGAGGTATATTTTACCTGATTCATTATGGGTCCACTGATATACTCCTGCTCTACCCTTATTATTCTTTAAAATAATAGGTTTATCAATTTCTGCATTTGAATAAACTATAACAGCAGCTGTTAATAAGCCATCTTGAAAAGAAGGAATAAATGAGAATAAGATATTAAAATCACCTATAGAAAGTAAACTACCCATTATATATAAGATTAACGGGCTTTGCGATAATAAGTTAGTTTGACATAACCCTCCTAATATTTGTACATTAACTTCTGTTAATAAAAAAACTGTAGGTACAAAGATTAAAAAAGCTTTTCGTCCCGAAGGAAAGATTGTTGATAAATATTGAGAAGCTAATGGTATCGGCAGTACTAAAAAAATAAATTTTAATATTGTCATTATATATATTTCAACGACTATAGCCATCTTTGTATCTTTTAATCTGATCAAGTTAATTAGTTCGATTCTGATCAACCCGAAATATAATATAAAAGATAGTGGGGGGTGTATAATCAAAAATTAATAAATAATTTAGATTATACATGAAATTGAAATAAAAAGAAATAGTATTAATAGTATATTAACTCCCTACTATTATAGAAATTGGAGTTGTGTATAAGATCCATTTATCTTGAAATAATTTTTCATTTTTACATGAAATTGAAATAAAAAAAAGAACAGTATTAATAATATATTAACACCCTACTATTATTCCTTATCTAAATTGAGAGTTATAGATAAGATCCATTTACCTTGAAACAATTTACCATTTTTACAATATCTAAGAATTGTATTATAACCACAATTAAAAAATTAGTAGCTTGTCTAGAAGAACAGAAAGAATTAACAAGAGTACCATGAGTATCATAAACATAAATAGTATTTCCTCCTTTAGCAATACTCATTTTAACTAAAGTTTCTAATAAATGTTGTTTACCATACATTGGATGATTTTCACCTGAATTAGCTACATGATTTTTTATAATGGTTTCTGGTAAATGTTTTCTTTCAAACATTGGATTATTCTCACCTTTTTTCACTTCACTAAGTTTTTCAAGTATAATTTCCGAGTGAACTTTACCAAAAAAATGATTATTTTTTCCTGAAGTTTTTAAAATAGTCTCATCTAAACGTTTGGAACCTAAAGTACTTCCAGCTATTTTAAGAATATTGTATACTGGACTAAGTAAATCTAAAAAATATTGTTCTCGTTCGAGAATCAATTTTCGTGTTTCTTCTTTAGTTAAATTCGAAATATCTATATGCTCAAGAATAGTTTAAGTAAATACTGAATGCCCATGGAGTAATAAAGCATTATTAATATGGCTATTTTTATAACGATTTAAATATGAAAGAGAAAAATAGCTATTAAATCGTTTTCTTAAATTGAATGCAGAACCAATATAAAATTTATCTGATTCTTTATGAGTTCATTGGTAGATTCCTGCAATGCCTTTATTATTCTTCAAAATCAAAGCTTTGATTATACACCTAATTATTATTAATAAGCACTTTTAAATAAAACCTCCTCTAAGGAGAGGGTGATGAAGAACTATTCTCTGAACATAGGCCATAAAAACAGGCCTATGTTAAGTTTTTTACTTAAAGGGTAATACCACTCACCCCCGGGCCAAACATTTTAGATTTAAAAAGTCTAATCATTCATTTCACCCCTTCGTTTTGAAGAGGAAACTTTACACCCTTCGCAAAAATGTGGGGCCAGTTGTAGGTGATAGGTCATTACCGGCCCGGGCAAATTAAAACCAACCCCCCCCTCCTCTGTGGGATAAGTTTTTAAAAGAAGGCAGACTTTTTATATAAGGCTATTATTTGATTGTTAAAAACAATTAAACATTTCCTTTTTTTAAGTCTTTCTTAAAAAAAAAATAAACAAATAAACCACTCCAGAATTAGGTGTCCTTTATCGGAAATAAATATATAAATATAAATATATTTTACCTGTTTGTCGAAATTGGTATACGATGTTGAATTAAAATCAATTGCTTTTTAGCGTGTGAGTTCGAGTCTCACAACAGGTATATTAAAATTATTACTCTTTTAACTAATATTTCCTATAAGAGAGAAGGAGGGATCTTCAGGAAAAGTAAGCACTAATTTCTTTATACACTTAATAGGGGAAGTTGGGTGTTAAAGTACGACGTTCGTCGTACCGAATAGATCCCGTCTATTCCTTAGGGATATCTCTAAGTTAACTTTTTTTATGCTCGAATAAATTAAGGACGTAGATAAGAACCATTGTTCTTAAAATATTTTTCCATCTCTTACATATCTCATAATTAATTGATGATTAGTATTAAAAGATGCAGCCGCTTTTCTAGCTGAGCAAAAAGTATTAAAAACGTAAGCCTTGAGTATCATAAACAAAAATAGTATCTCCTCCTTTAGCTACACTCATTTTAGCCAAAATGTCAGATGAATACGACCTAACATTTCTCGTGGATTTTTTTTTTCACCTGTTCTGTCTATTCTTCTCTGAACTTCACTCATTTTAGCTATAATATCCTCAGAAATAGATATACCAAATCTAGGATGATCCTTGTATCCTAAACATTGGGTGATTTTCACCTGTTAAAGCTTAACTAATTTTGGCTTTAGTCTCCTCTGAATGGATAAAGAATAATTCCATTATTTGCTAATGAAGAATAATTTTGGAATGCTAATTGTCGGAATTGAGCGACGTCACAATGAAGGGAAAAAGTTGAAAAAGTTAAATAACATTTAAAAAAAAATAAGGGTCTTGTACAAAAAAAGAAATTTTTGAATCATTATATTACAACGAAAATGGCCACTAATTAGGTTCAATTATTTATTTACATTTTAAACTTTTTGATTACATCTAATAAATAAGTCAGATTGATATTTAATTGGTATGTCTAATGG